CCCCCCCCCCCCCGGAATTATTCTCTAAAATTTTACTGTTTATTGTCCCCCCAACTATGAAATGGGATTTTCGCCCCTGTATGGATGTTTTTGTATGTAAGTGATTGTTTGTGATGTATTTGCAGGTTTCAAACACACTGGTGTTTTGTTGGGGTTGACCTGAACGTGTGCACTCTCACTTCATCGATTGCACCTGTGACAATTATCTAGTGCTACTCTGATTTTCTGACACCTGATATCAGTCTTAGTATATCCGTTAGCTGCCATCTTTTTTAACATGCCCTGATGAAGCCTGAGCTGAAACACATAGGTGCTAAGCCATTACATTAAAAGGCTTTAATTTTTGCAAAGCAGTGTGCCTTGGTAATTTCTTTGGTTATGGCTTATTGACAAAGTAAATTACAAGTCTAACACCTCCGTCCTTTTTTGGACACTAAGTAATCACTTGGGAACTGAGGACAGTAATTATTTAAGGTTTGAAAGTGAAATTCATTCCCCAGTCTTGCTTGATATACAACTTCAGTTGCTCAACAGACCGGGGTCTCAGTTGTTGTATTTTGTGCTTCATAATGCACCACACATACTCATTGTTGTCAGGTCGGTCTAATACCTGCACTCTTTTACTGTGAAGCCACACTGTTGTAACAAGTACACAAAGTTACTTGGCATCGTCTTGCTGGAATAAGTAGGGACATCCCAGAAAAAGACCATTCATGGTGCCTTCAGAGACACACACCCCTATATCATCACAGATACTGGCTTTGAACTTGGTAACAGTCTGGATGGTCCTTTTCCTCTTTAGCCTGGAGGACACAACGTCTATGATTTCCAAAAACAGTTTTAATGTGGACTCATCAGATCACAGCACACTTTTACACTTTGTGTCAGTCCATCTCTAATGAGCTTGTGTCCAGAGGAGTTGGTGGTGTTTCTGGATGTTATGATATTTGGCTTTCAATTTCCATGGTAGAGTCTTGTAGATGTGGCGATGACCTGTGTTTACAGGCAGCAGTGTTCCCGAGCCCATGTACTGTAGTAATATCCTTTATAAAATCATGCTGGCTTTGAGGGGTCAACAGTCACAAGCATTCAATATTGGTTTCAGCCTTGCCCCTTATGTGCAGAGATTACTCCAGATTCTCTAAATCTTTTGATGATACTATGGACTGCAGACGGTGCCTTACAATTGCGCTTTGAGAAATGTTCTTAAACTGTTGGACTGCTTGCCCACGCAGTTTTTCACAAGGTGAACTTCGCACCATCATTGCTTGTGGACAAGTAGGCCTTTGAAGGATGCCCCTTTCATAGCAAATCGTGATACGATCACCTTGAAAATCTTGTCTTTGTTTGATTGTATGAGTCAAACAGAACTTGCAAATCATTGCATTCTGTTTTTAATTTTGTTTTTACACAGCGTCCCAACTTTTTTGGAGTCAGGGTTGTAATAATGTGATGTATTAGCCAACTGTCTTGATTGAGAAGAGACTTGAGT